TTGATAGTATATACGTTTAAAGTTCTTAATTTTATAAGGCAATATTTAAAAAATTCCTGAAATTCCCCTAGTGTGAGAGTTGACATTTTTTCTCTAGGCATCTTCTCTTCTTTAATGTATTTACCAACCCTCTAACAAGTACGGAATTTAACGTAAATTACTCATTATAATGTCGTCATCACTCAGGCAAAGCATAATTTTTATAGCTTTCAATCTTATTTGGTTACAGAGCCATCAAATAGAAAATCAGACCCCCTCTTGCCATCCCCACCTGTCACATCCTCTCTTTCAGAAATTGCCAATGGTTTTCTCTGTCATTCAATACTACATTATTTATAACTAATAGAAAACCAAGGTTTTCATCTATCAAATAATGTATTATATTACATTTTCTGTATAGAGAATCATCCATGAGAAACACGTTGATTAATTTAGATGAATTTGTAACGACTCTTGTTGCATAGTTAGAAATAATGCAATAAAATATAAGTATAAATATATGTACATTGTTACAAGTTTAAAGCTATTTAGGATAAACAAATGTAGTTTCATGTTCTAGAAAGAAAAAAGAGGTAATTTAGATTTATTTTTTGTGGTTACAAGGTCGGTCAAATTAATGAACCTTATATTAAGTTAGGGTAAAAAAATAACAGATAGAATATAAAGTTCTACTGAAAAAAAATTTCGAAATTTATTTCAAAGGTTTTAGCAATTATGCAAATGAAATTTGAGATCTTTGAGGCAAAGAAAAGCATTCTTAATCTTAATGTGTAAATCACTTTGCACTTTGACTAGTAACAAAAAAAAACTATACATGTTCACAGACAAATCTTTAGCAAAAATATCTCATTACAAAATAAGATTTTTTGTACACAAAAGACTTGTAATGTTTACTAAAAGTCTGCCAAATTTCGTGAAGATACACATACTGTAGTAAAAGTTATAGTATCGAAACTATAGCAAATTCAAAGTGATTATGATGTCTGTCAGTTTAACTGACTTCGTTATAAAAGAGTTAAGTAGATTTTTTCTTTATAAGTAAACTTAAAATCAATTTTGTTAACAGATTTCTTATGAATTAACAAACTTTAGGAAAACTTTTAAAGTTCTATCTTACATACCAAAAGTCTATTACACAGAAATGAATAAGAAAAGAATATTATAAAACTGGTGAAGGAACTAACAAAAATTCAGTTTTAAAATAATGCATTTTATTCTGTTCTTGCTAATTTCATATAAAAGAAAAGGCTATAATTAAAAGTATTCACAGATAAGTTTTCATGCCTGGTCTTCTCAAAATGACTTGTGGAGAAAAGGTTGTTTGACGATCTGAACATCTACAAGGCAAGTTTTTGTGAAAGTTGTGTTATATGATTTAATTACTCTTAAAAACTAACCTTGACTGCCATTGTAAGGTTACTTTTTTTGTGAGTCATTTTATTGACTGTTCCAAATGCTCCTCGACCAATCTCTCCAAGATCTTCCAAGTCATCGGCAGTAAAATCATATGTCTACAGAGAATGTTTAAGAAATTAATTTTGTTAAACTTGCTCGACATTAAAGATGTTCTACTAAAACCAAAACCTTTTTTTTTAAGGTTAACTAAAATTATACAGTATGTATGTATACACACCTATATCTTTAACTCAATGGATGAAGCAACAACCGATAAACTCATCAACAACTCACACTATATAAAACACTTATGGTAAATATTCATGGAGTATATATTATATTCTAATTACTTCACTAAACAAAAATAAAGAGTCTGTCCACTAATTTTACAATAAGCAGAGTTAAAGCATGTAGTTCAATGGTAAAAATCGAGCCACTTTTCAAATAGATTAGTCTTACGTAACAACGTGCCCTTATGTCGAAAACAGTACCAAATATGTGATAGTCTACATTCTTCAGGTGACATAAGCCTGAAGAAATCAAAATTAAACAATCCCATAAAAGGTTATGTCTGAGAACTAAAACTGCCAAATTAGGTTTAGAAACTAAAGAAACAAAACCTTTACAATTTCTTTGGCCACAAAAAAAGTAAAGCAAGTATTACTCAGTTTGGAAAAAATGCATTGTTAATACTGAAAGGTGCCTCAGATGCACAAATATTAGAACTCACAGTCACTTTAACAAAATATTGTCTTGGCTGAACATAATGGTAGGAGTTCACACGATGCAATCACTGTTAATTAAAGTTCTTTGTTTTCTCCATCAGTTTGTTTTACACACTTGATGAGAGTCTATCTAGACACTCAGCTGAGTGTTGGGGTGACCAGCTGTATGCTAGCCAGAAGTTTGAAGAGGCTGTCTAAATTGAAGTGAGTGGGCTATACACAGTTGTTAATGTATTCTGTGTCAACACTTATTGGTCAGTTCTTGTATTCCTGGTGATATTTTCCTAAAACTTCCTGTCACCTTTCTGGCTTGTACACAACATAGGTCAACAAAAAGTTTTTCAATTTTATTTTCCCCAAAGATGTTCCCTGGAGCTAAATAAATCTTGCTAGAGATTCCACTTGCCCAGTTTTCTGTAGTAACTCATTCCACTTGCCCAGTTTTCTGTAGTAACTCCTTCCACTTGCCCAGTTTTCTGTAGTAGCTCATTCCACTTGCCCAGTTTCCTGT